CACAAGTTGCCTGAGGGCTTGTTGTTGGGTGGGGCCAGTCTCTAGGGTGGGCTGCCTGCCCTGGCTGAGCTGGGTTAAATCGGTGCTCTAGCGGGTGGAGCAGACCCTGGGCTAGCAGGCCTCAGGGAGAACTCCAATGGCGTCTGTGTCAGCATGCTCACACCAGGCCACAACAATGGCCGCCGCCACGTCCCAGTCCCTGGAGAGGTCTCACCCCTCACCGAGATGCACTCAGGGCCTATTAGGTGAGTCTCTTGTCACCAAAGCACTGTGCACTTTTCTTTCTGGTGATTTTAGGATGCTTTCTGAAACGGGTGAGTTTGTGTGCGGGCCCTTTAAGAGCCAGTTTTAGTTTCTTTGTGAACCGGGTTTTCTGGGGGTTCTCCCCAGTGCTTTAGCAGCAGGCAAAGTCAGATATTACGCCACTCATCTCGATTGTGATGGGTCCACAAAATGCCCCCAGTGGGGGCGCTCCCTGGCTCTGGGCCCCGCGCCTCCAGGGAGGGCTGCGTACCTGTGGGCGGCTCCCGGCCGCCGTGAAGCTGGCGGCTTGTGAAGGCGGCGTTTTTCCTCTCCAGAAGGGAGTCTCTGCCTCTTCTACCTCAGTTAGGATTGTCCGTTGTTGCAGGAGTTCCTCTTATCCAGTTTTCAGTTCTGTCTCAGGGGTAATTTTTCCATGAGTAGTTGTAAATTGGCTGTGTCCACGGGAGGAGGTGAGTTCAGAGTCTACCTACGCCGCCATCTTGACTCTCCCCCCCCAAAAATATAGAAATTTTATATAAAAAGATCTGGATTCCCAGCCTCTCTTGAACAACCGATTGATCAGGCCATTGGGCCCACATTCCCACTTGTGGATACACTGTGGGGCCAAGTAGTGGCTCCCCTTTTAGATAGGTGTGTGGGGGTAGGTGTGTCACCTACCAGCTTCACCCACATTACCTGCCTGGCCTGTACTGCATTTGGGTTTGTGACCTCCCATGATGTACGGCAGCGATAAATTAAATGTAGTGCAGTACATGTGAAAGACCTTTGGAACTCTCAGTATCTGTAACAATTTGAACTGCTTTTGTTAATATTTGATAGTTACTCAAACCTCATAAGCAGAGGAAGTATTTATTTTCGTATTTTTAATAGTTGGAAAAAATCAAGGATGAAAGGTGGGACATAATTTTTCCATGTTCTTTTCATGCGTCTTATGTTTTCTTAAGATACTGGCTCAAATCCAAGTACTGGTCTCTCTACTATCACTACCTTATCTCTCAGTGAGTGTTGGCAGGCCTCCACCCACTCTCACCCCCTTCACTTTCTGCATCTTTCTCCTTGTACTCTGCGTCTTCTCCTAGCCTCATTCCCTTCTTGTGAGGCCTTGCTCCAGTGCTAGGGGCTTGGTGGGCTGTGGTACGAGGGATTACCCAACCCACGAGCATTTGCGGGGACTAATTCACTGTGTGACTTTGTCCAAGTGAGTTCTCCTGCCTGGCTCTCAGATTCCCCATATGTAGAATGAGGGCCTCAGTGGCTGTGCGGCTCTGAAATCCTTTGCTCTGAGTCCACATTGGAGGCAGACTCTGGGCTGAATGGCTCGGAGGGAAGAAAGGGACCAGGAACCCTGGATGCTTCCCAGGGCAAGGGGAATGCATCTGCCTCTGATGTCCGTCTCAGGCCTTCCTGGCTTCTCTAGGTCTCTTGCAGTTCTGGGGTCTCTGGAAATATAGGATAGCACAGGTTCCTTCCTCTTCTAGGAGAAGACTCCAGGCAGGCCAGTTCCTGAAGGGAAGAGGTGAAGTGGGGGGAGGGCAGGGAGCAAGCCTGGCATCGTCACTGAGTGTTTTGTGAACTGATTTGCATTGCAGGTGGAGCACGCCCTAATGGAAGGAGCGAAGGCTGCCGGGGCAGTGATTTCAGCGGTAGTGGACAGCATGAGGCCCAAACCAGTGACTGCCTGACACTGCCAAAGACTCCAAGCAGAGGAAGAGCTGCTGATAGCAGCAAAGAGAACCTGCCTCTCTCCTGCCCTTGCCTTCCTCTCTCAATGGCCCCATGTAAGAAACTTGTGAGCTTCTGGAAAAATGTAGAACGCATCCAATTACCCCTCCAGAAATACATCCACAAATGTGATCACAGACCCATGGACTCTCAGGGTGGGAAGAACCTAATACTTGTTGTGCACCTACTAGGCGCCAGGCACCGTACTAGGCATTTCATACACTTATTTCATTTTCCTCTCTTTGTAGGATGGGGCCTTGCCTGTTTGTTAGGCTGACCCTAGTCTGTGATGCTCGAATGCCACCTGAAACATCCTGGAAACCTCTGCTGGAACATTCCCAGTAATGAAGAACTCTTCTCAGAAGTTCTTTTTATTGAACTAAACTGTCTCTAGCTTGTTTCCATTTACCTCAGTTATGCCCTTTTAGATCCACAGTGCAGTTCAGGCGGGGAGGACTTTATGGAAACCTGTAACTCGCTACTCAGGGCCACCCATGCCTTAATCTAGGAACACCATTCCCAAGAAATATTCTCTTTTTTAAATTCTTCATCAGCTTTCTTCGTTATTGTTTCAAAAGCCCCAATTTTGAGTATAATCAGTAAGACCATTTTATCTTGCTTTTCTACCTTATAAGTACCAGAAAATTTCTATTTTCACTGATTCCAGATGAATACTTAAAATAATTTAATCAGTGGACTTCTGTGTGAATGACGGAGTGGGAGGAGTGATTTCTGTGTTTTGAAGACTGTTGACGTGATGGAAGATCTAAGATTGTGACAGGATTGTTAGTGTCAGTTGAGAGCCGCAGCCACCCAAGAAAACTAGACAAGGGCTCTTGAAATGCCTAGGAAATGTGAAGAATGTGGAAGAGAGCAGGATGGGATCCCCAAAACCTTTCACGTAAGATTGGTTAGGATCTCCCACCAGCCTTTCTCCTATTTGGAGGAAACAGATCCACAATGAAACTCGTCAATTGTTTTCCCCTCTGTTCTTTTCTTAGCATTCCAAACTTGACTGCCTCCCCCTATTTCCTAGACGCTGAGGTCTGGGAGTGTGTCTTTGTCTTCCACCTGCCCTTCCCCACTGGTCCCTGTCTTTGCTTTCTGTGACAGTTCCAGTTGCTGTGATGTAGAGCATGCTCTCGTTTCTGTGAATCATGACTAGGAAAAAGCCACGGCCCCTGGTGCCCCCAATCATCGCCCCCACCCCCCAAAATCACTTGAGTTCTCAATACGTCTTCCTTCAGTCTCTTTATTCATTACCTGGTCTAGGTTGAGACTTCCTTTAAGGTAGAACCCAAGTACCAGGAATTTATAAAGTAGATTCTGTTTAACTTTGTGTTAACTCAGTCATGTATTAGTGAACCTTTTGATCTGAAGATGACTTTGAACTCATAGGCCATATTAATCGTTAATCAAACAAACTGGGTGTTGTTTGATTGACAAACAGCTCCTGCATGCCAGGGAGTGTTTTATAGTAACCTCCAAACAAATTACATCCATCTCTTGCTTAAGTTTGGGACAGAAAGACACTCCCCTGGCTTTTTATGGCTTGCACCCAGGGAGGCAGAGACCCTTAGGAGTGTATCAGGGCTTATGTTTACTCATTCATCCAACAAACATTTTCTAGTGTTTACCCAGTGCTACATCCTTGCTGCTCCCACCTTTGCCTGAACCCATAAGCAGTGGTCAGGGATGGCAGTGAGAAGTTCTGAGTCATTTGAGAGGACACAAGGCACGATGGAGCACGGGGCAGAGATCACCTGCTGGACAGCAATCTCTTTCTGGTTCCAAGCTGTCCATCAAGCCATGAGCTCTGGAATGCACATCCCACACTTTGCAGATGAGGAGAGGAGGGTTTCTTACAGTGTTATTGAAAACCTGTAGCAGTTTCTGCATTCTAGGGTAAAAAGTGAAATCTCTGCTTTGAGTGGGACCACTTGTGAGCCTGTTTATTGTAGATACAAGGTACGTACCCACTGTTGCTGGGGGGATCCTGAGGGAAAGTAATCTGAATGCAAATGTTCCTGAGATGTTAAATACTGGTCTCTTGTTTGTATGCTTATTTTTTAGTGCTTATTCTTTTTCACTTTTTGGGCATGGGTGGGTGGGGGCAGTGGTGGTATTGATTCACTTGGCATGTCACTTGGAAAGTCAGAGAACTTGAGTGTGCTCTGTTCCCTAGTGAGAGGGAGGCCCAGTGTTAGGGACACGTGAGCCTGCAGGTCCTGCACACAATCCAGATGCTTTGCTTAATGAGAGAAGGCTGACTTCAGGAAACACTGAATAACCTCTGCAGATTGTTATGACCGTAAAGTGATCTGGTTCTGCTGACCAGGAGTGGGAGATAGGGAGTGAAAAACACATCAGGCAGGGATGCCAACTGAATGAAGGGGAATGAACCCCATCACTGGGGCAGTGGGCCAGAGACTGAGGGGAGAAATAGACAGAGGAGAGGCCCTTGTGACACTAGGAGTAGAAATAAACTGCTCCCGGTTCCTACTTTTAAGTTTTTGTCTTAGGCTTATAATCACCTTGTGTTATCCTCAAGCCTTGTACTGAGAACAGGAGTAAAAGAAAAACCAGTGTGCATGGTGCATGGTTTGTAATACCCAAGAGGACTACAGCCATGGAGAGAAGAGGCTCAGGAACCAGCAGAGGGAGTCCTTAGCAAGCAAGAGGACCAGAGAGGTTCCATGTCGATGTCCTCTGGAATACTTGGGGAGAGAAGTGCAGTCACGTGGGAGGGGAGCTTGGTCTGAAAAATAAGATTTGAAAAGAAGGATGGATCTGTAGGACTTGGGTGCTTTTATCACACATAGTCAAGTGCAACATAAGGGCAGAGGGCATTGGATACTCTGCATTCTGATGATCATAGACCATTTTGACCTCCACACTGTTCCTACTGAAATTTCTTTTATCCCTTTAGCAGAACGAAAAATGGTTATACAAACTCTAAGAAGACTCTTTGAGCCACTAAAGTTCTGTTCTGTCCAAGTTTTTGTTCCCAGTGCTTTTGAAGGTGACCATCAGCCAGGCAGACTCTTTAATGAGAAGGCAATTATTTATGATCCCAGGCTGCTTCTTGGTACAGAGGAAGTGTCTTTTTTCCTGGATTATGTTTTTTTTTTTTAAAAATATTTTTTTGTAGCTTGGACTATTCAGTTTGCTAGGTTAAATGTAAAAAGATTAATTTTTATGTTTGTTTTCGAAAAGATTGCTTAAAGTTCAACTTCAAAGTTAAAGCATATCTGAGTTTACAGCAATGTGGGGGATGCTTTGTAAATGAGTGATTTTGAGTATTTCTAGTTCCGTTCCAAAAGAAGGACTTTTGAAAAAATCATTTGAGGCCAGAGCTCCCTTGTCTCTTCATCTTGATGAAGGATGGCTTCCCCCACCTTTGCCTGAACCCACGAGCAGTGATCAGGTGGCAGTGAGAAGTTCTGAGTCAGAAAGACAAGGAACCTGTGGGTTCAATTGATTTTCCAGAGCAGTGGCTTCCACACTTTACGTTAGCAGCAGAACCGTCTCTTTAGGTATAATATCACTGAGGCCCCTGATGTATAAAAGGGTAAAAATGGAGCAGCTGTGGATGAAGCAGGGCCCAGAGCTTCATGCAGGCAGTCGGAGCGGCATCTGCTAACTTGGATGCCCTCTCGGACATGCTTTGCCAACAGTTGATGGGAATAAAATAATAATGACACCAGGAATAGCGACATTCCTGGAGTGTTCATGCTGTTCCAGGCGCTATTTTAGATGCTTTAGGACCTTCACTCACCCTGTGGCTCCGTGTGTTCATTATCTCTGTTACAGACTCTGTGGCCCCTTAAACAGCTGCCGCACCCAACCAGCTTTATCTGTTGCTTTAACTGTAAGTATTTATGGCACTATTGCCTCCACTGGTGAAATAAGGAAACTGAAATCAAGAGCTGGTTTACAATGAACCCCAAGGGGAAGAGGTTACTTAAGGCTGAAGATGCATAATGAAAAGGACAATTTGGGCAGGGGCAAAGGGCTGAGTCATCCACATCATCCATGGGGCTCACCAGCAGAGGCAGAGTCAATTGCATATAGTCCTAATATCAGGCCTTGGCTATTACATGAGCAGTAATAGATATTAGGGAGTAGGATAAACTTTTGAAGCTGATTTATGATCTTTACCTTTGGGATGGAAGGTCTCTGCAGGGTGTAGACACTGAGTTGTGATTACCCGCATCCAGTATCTGCTCATAGAGCTGAAGCAACAAGGTATGTCTTGTTTACGGAAGGTAGGGATGAGGTAGGGGGAGAACTCAGCTTGGGGAGGAACTAGGGAGCCATGCAATGTCAGAACCTCTTTGGTGCAAATTTGCCACCAACCCCTGGCTGTGGCAGAGCTTGCTCAAATGCTGAAACCTATCAGGAGTGCAGCTTTGGTGTCTCAGGGAACCCAACCTGGCACATTGTAGCAGGAACGGGCTTCACCACCATCTTGGCTCAGAGGAGTAGAGCAAGAAGTTTCAGTATGTCTCGCTCACATGCGGATGCTGAGGGTTCTGCTCTTGGATACCTCTATACCCTGTGGGTGGGGGGGTGTCCAGGGCAACCCTGAGGCACCTCCCCCAAAACCCTGGGACTTCGCAGGACAACAGGAAAACAGTGCTCTAATAACTGCTTATAGGTCATTGATGAAACTGCCTGTTGGGGGCTCACACTCAGGACTACTACTCTGCAAGGCTGGGCTCAGGAAGTGGGGCGTGAGGGAGGCTCATGGATGCTTGTCTATCAAGAACGTATACCCTGATGCCGAACATGAGGACCCCAGCAGATGTATAATATTAAGAAAACTGTGGAAAGAAGTATATATGGCATGTTTGATCTGTCATCCTCCAAATATGGGGCAATAACCTGTTAGAGACTTCTTGAAGTCTCTTCTCTCTAGCTATTCCCAGAGCCACAAGTAGACCTGTGTTATGACTCTCTTAGTTGCAAGGGATGGAAAACTCAAGAAAATAGCTCAAGCAAAATGAGGAATTTTCTTGTTTAAGTGATGTCAAATCCTGGATTAGAAAAGAGTACAGCTGGATTTAGGGTTTCAGGACATCAGCTTCCAAATAACCTGATGGGCTGGTTCTCCAGAATCATACGATTAT